AACTTGCAGTGGTACACATAAAGGCGACCTGCATTAGGTAGAGGGTAAACCCCTAGATCAAAATGGTGTTACCCGGAAATAAAAGCAGTGGTGCGAATCGGATCGGTGGTAAAAAGAAAACAAAGATTCTGTCGAAAGCGCTAAAATTTAATTTTTACTCGTTTTTGTAATTCTGTGTGCTTGAGGCAACGAGACAGCGAGCGCGGGAAGAGAGGATAGGCGAAAGAGCACAAGGAATGAGAGGTCGCAGACACGAGTATGTTGCGAATGAGGACTAAGAGATACGGTCGAAGCGGTCTTGGAAGATTTTGCCACCAACTTTCAATCCGGAGAAGGCAATCTGCGACATCAGTGGGCAGCGCTATCCTACCCACCAACTGCATTGATCCACCTGAACTCATCGTTGGGTGTGCCTTTAAGTGTAACATCCAGCAAAAAAGCAAGAACTATGGCCGAACTCGTCTGCCCCCGTGGTCAGATTCGAACAAGTGTTGAGGCGACAATTTCCTTCGTTTATCAGCTGCAGAGGTAGTACCCTTTTATTTTCGCATATGAATCGATTGCATAGCTTTCCAAGGCCGGCTTTATAAAATCAAATATCGTTTTGATAGATTTGGAATAAAAAACTTGTGAAATATGCTCATTGGGCTTCTATGGACGGAAAGGCATTAGCGCTGCAAAAACCAAGCTCTAGTACGAGGGAGGAGACGCTGCCGGCCGATCACAGCCAGGTTGTTGTAATGATTTATCTGGTCACTCGCTTCCACTGCGGTCATCCTCGAGATATTTTGAAGAAGAAAAAGTGAAACCGTACGACTGGTAACAACCTTTCAATCTCTATCATTTATTAATAGAGCTGTTATTTTAATCTGAAAGAACCGGAAGTTGGCACCTCACAAAAGTGCTATAATGGCACCAATAATGAAGTTAACTGGTTAGATGACCACATAACTTCACTTTCGGCGCGCCAACAGACGTTTTTGAGCCAGACGTGGGCCAAAGAGTAATCTGACTCCTTGAAGCTATACCACACTTATTCGGACTAATGGTTCATTAGAGTTTGATTGATTGACTGCATGCGACACGCAGGGAGAAGGCAAAAGAGGCAATAGGCGGATTCTTTCTGAAAACGGTTTCCGATGAAGTTATTCAGTGCCTTCTATTACTCGACCCTTCACTCTCGTTTCTTACATAATCTTCGAAATTATTTTTGCACCAGACACACATCTGGGATGAGGCAGTGTAGTGGTAGATATGAAGGCAGGCTCGGAGACGCACAACGTCCGCGTCAATCGTTGGGCATAAGTTAGTCTCCATCCAGCTAGTTGTGATCATTTGATATCAGACTCGTTCTAGAGAATGAAGACACTGGTCATATAACTATTCGGGTGGCCAATGAAGTATGTGCTTATCACACTCACAAGGGAAGGATACCAGGTCGAAGTGGCCATTTGTAACGAGACATACACCACTAGATGTGTTTTTGGACGCTGATCTCGAATCTGCTCTCCAAATCTGCGGAACGATTCTCTGAACGTAGTTATGAAGCGAAATAGTGCAGTGGCAGCGGCCCGGCCGACGAACAGTAGGTCGTGAGATCGACTTCTTGGCGAGTTGTCAGTTTCATGCTAAATCATCAGCGACTGCCTATCCTACAAGTGGATAGAGCTGGCGAAGAGCTTCGAACACTATGCGCGTCATTTGCAAATGACCGTCTCTGGTACTCGTAGCGCACGTGTCAAGCACTTTCGTGCCGAACAGATATGATATTCTTGTTCAGCGTGTCAGACTACCCCTTCCGAGGACTTTTGGTCCAAATCTAAAACTTTGACCTGAAGTTGAAAATCTGGGCACACACGACCGAATGGAAACGGCAAATGACGCGCATAGTGTTCGAAGCTCTTCGCCAGCTCTACCCATTTGCAGGATAGGCAATCAATGTTCTTTAAAGAAGCAAAACTGATAACTCGCCAAGAAGTCGATCTCCACGACCTACTGTTCCGTCGGCTCGGGCCGCTGCCACTGCACTATCTCGCTTCATAACTACGTTCAGAGAATCGTTCCGCAGATTTGGAGAGCAGATTCAAGATCAGCGTCCAAAAACACATCTAGTGGTGTATGTCTCGTTACAAATGGCCACTTCGACCTGGTATCCTTCCCTTGTCAGACTGCCCACAGATTTTCGAATGAAAGTCCTATTTTGGGTGGCCGATCCTTAAGGCACAACCCAGGCAGAGGTCGTGTGAACGCTTCTCTTCGGTCTGTAGTATAGACCCTAGAGGACAATCACAAATGTGGCGTTCCCGTGCACGGAAAACCAACCGACAAGAGCGCTTGGGCCTTGCAAAGTAAGCTGCCCAAGCTGCAGACTTTTTTTCTCTTATCAGGCTGTTGTCTGGCGCTCTCTCATCTGTAGCGCTCTCTCGCCTCATACTCTCCTCTCCGCGCTTAGTCTCTCATTCCCTTAGCACAGCCGATTAGGAAGGTGAGTGAGCCCTAAACCTAAGCGTTTTTGACGGATTCTTTTCCTTTTTTCTTTAATGCCGGCCCATTTCGCACTAATACATTCGTATCATGGGCAGCAGCTACACCAATGCGATCCTGGGGCATGCTTTAAAAGGTGGCATATCTACAGTAGCCGTATCGTTGCAACTTTGACGCTAACGTTAAGAATAAGTGCGTTGAACCAACAGCAAGTGAAATCTTCCGCACCTCCACATTCAACACCCTCACACTGACTGGGCCTCTCCTTCTCCACTCTCAATGTTGGGTAAACCATGTCCAATCACCCGGCTCACAGCCTTTTTCGCAGCCCAAGGTGTGAGGTCGTAGTGGAGGTAGATGGCAGGCCAACGATTGATGATTGCTGGCTGGTAGACCGTTAGATCCACAACCCTAGCCCCTTGCGATACAGGCTCTTGAGCCATCTCCCGTGTCCAGAAGGTACCAAATTAGGACAGAAATTCAGGGAAGCTCCCGATCATAACTTCCAAAGGCACACACAATCAAATGGAATCTTCCGCGAAAAAAAAAAACAGTTTCCGAAAGAGAAAACAAACTCACAAAAGACTCCACTCTATAGACAATCGAAGGTGTAAGTGGCGCGGAGCCAAACGGCGGGGCATGAAAAGAAGTCCGCCTTTGAGGAGGCTACGTATCAGGCGACGCAATGACGGAAGCTGGGTATTTGGAGAAAGGCATTGATTTTAGGAGAATAAGGCAAACAATCGATAGAATACGATGCAGTAGAAGTGTGAGATGTGAGTGGTGCAATAAGTGAAAAGGCCAAAAGAGTGTTTTAGTAACTCCGAAAACCAAGTGGAAGCACTCCCGTCGCCAGCATTTGTGACAGATGTCCGGCGGGAATTTGAACGCGTAGCAGCCCTTCCGGTTTTCGAATTGTTTACCAAAACAAATGCAATTTTTTGTTCTTTTCGTTCTTATCGTGAACGATGGGTCCCAAGCCAGTGAATTATGGGTAAAAGAATCACGATTTTTCCGAGGATTCCTTTTAGGATGGGCTCAGGTAAATGATTCCTTTCGATAGGTAGGAGGGAGTTGTATATGAAGGTATGTCTCCCGGCGCTCAGGTGCGTAATAAAGGCGCTAGGGTTCTGCGAAGACAGTTTCCTTTTTTCTATACTGGTGCCTAATACTCACTCATCCGCTGTGATCTCTTGCCTTTCCTTTCTTATTCGTGCTCATTCCACCATTACTTCAACTTAGAAGTGAGCATGCTCTTAACGTGAGCGTTTTCGATTGATTTTTCCCCTTTTTTACTTTCCTGCCGGCCCACTTCGCAACAATTCGCGCTCTGACCACGAGTTCCATTTCCCGTCATTCTGAGAGTTGACAAATTGGCTGACCATTCTCTTAGAAATTTCGCCCGTCCACTTACTCTTATGGTTAGTGGTTTCCTGCATTCTTGATAGTTTCTGTATTTCTATATTTCTATCTACATATTTGTGTAACAAAGACTTTGCGTCTGAATTCCAGTCACTGAGGAAAGCAACTAATAGAGGCCAACTTTATTAAAGGCCTGTGAAACTGCTAGATTTTATCGAAATCGATGCTTCTTGGTCTACATTATTCTTTAAACTTGAGAAGGATGGCGGCTATCCTTGTTGCGGAGAGCGGCATATGCTTACTCCTGAAACAGGTAGAGTTCGAACACACATTGGTCTCAGCCTTCGAAAGCCTTAAAGGCAGTGGTCACGATGGCGGGCTGGCGGTGCGGTTTTGTCCAGGATCGACTTCCTTTTAGTCTTGACATAGTTTGATCAGATGTTTGCTTAATTGGAGCCGTCCAAGATTATGCACCTTCATTGGGCTAACGTTTCTGCTTCTTCGCTTTCGTCAGAGCCCGTTTTTAACTTTTCCAGGCTACGACGAAGGCAAAGAAGCCGCAACATTAGCCTAATAGAATTGTATAATCTTGGTGCGGTTTTGATGACGGCATTTGAGGTCGTTGGTGGACTATACCCTTCAGCGCGCTGGGGTGTATGGCTGGGCTTCTTAACGCCCTTCCATCAATGACGTTTTATGACGTCATGACAACCGCACCGCCATCTTGCTATTGTGATCACTGCTCAAAACTATGAGCTACTCACGTCTCTCAGCGAAAGTTCAAATTCAAGACATTTGATGTGATAGAGATACTCGCGTATCTCTCTGTAGCGACGACACTAAAATCAGGAGTTGCCTCTGCTGCATCATCATTGGCTTCATCGACATCTGAAGCAGCCGTCGATTGAGGAGGTGACACCGCCTGAGGGGACATAACTAGAGATGGTGTGGTGGCTTCAGGGCATGGCAATGACGGTATCTTCTCCAAACTCATCAGCTGATTGCCCAAGAGGAACAAACTGAAATCCTTGAGCTGTTCTCAACTGTTGGTATTCCAGTGGAGCAGCACCGTTCAGCTCACGAGTTAATCCTTACATTGCTCGGAATCAACGGAGCATTTGTGAAATATCCAGGGATTGGAGGAGGATCATTGCCGTCCTGAATGTAGTGGATCAGTTGGCCGCCGTAGAGAAGGTGCTGGATGACAACGCGAGGTTTTCTCTTCTGTCGATTATGGAGGCTCAGCGACTGTCCTTCTCGAGGCGCCTTTTCACCACCTTCTTCCGTCTCATCAACTGCCTTCTGTTCCCCTTCTCGTGCCTGGTGCTCTCTCTGTATATGCCTTCGTCTTTCCTGCATGAAAATTCGAAGTTCTTCGTTCAATTTCATGTGGTCAATCTAAATAATAACCAGGTGTGAATGTCGGGCGAATAGATATGAAAAGGAAAGTTGTTCACTTACAAGTATACTAGCTAAATATCGATTGATAATGCGTTTGAGAGGAGGCAAGCCGTCGGAACAGTACGTGGGAGGAGGCTTTATGGCAGTTTTTCTGAAGAATGAAGTGTTCGGTAGTAGATGATACGGTGGCGCCAGTGGTAGGTAGCGTGGTCGTTTGCTTGGGTCGCTGTGGTCCAGTTCTCTGCAAATCCTCATCCAAGTTCGGCGGAAGAAGTACAGGCCACTGGAAAATTGGTAGTTTTAGTGCAAAAAATTCAGAATTCTCAGAGATCGACATATTTTTGGCTATCGCAAAATACGGGGCAATGTGGTGGCAATGCATTTGAAATCGCGTAAAACATGTCCTTTTTGTTGAAAACGGGACTAAGCCTTAGGCGGGGAGGAGAGACTCCAGGGTGCGTCAGCCATTTTCATTCTCCCCGGAATTCCTGCCCCTCCTAGGCTTAGTCCTAGAGGATGCCCCCGTATATTGCGATAGCGCCTTATTCTCTATTGAGGAGATGACACCGCCAGAGAAACCGTAAACAAACCTCTTGGTTACACCCTCGACGATAGTTTTTGTAAATCTCCATGAGCTCTTTCGCAGTGGCGCTGGGTGGTCGCAAGAACGGTCGCTCAGGACTCGGGATCTCCGTGAAGATACCCAACGGCTCACTTCTGGATCTTGCTCGAGAATTCACGTGTGGCTGGTGGACGGCTTCCTCATACTGAATGAAATGTGTTGAATAAAAATAACAAAGATTTGGATGTGTTTCTATACCGCGTCGATCATTTCCACGATAGGTTCAACTCTACCGATACATCTGTTATATTACGGAGGGAAGTGGGATAGTAGGATAACCCAGACCCCAACCAGCGCTGACTTAAAGCAACACCCCCAGCAGAAGTCGTGTCGAAGAATCTATTCAGTGGGTGGGATAGAGTAGCCACGAGTAGCACAGATGTGCCGTTGTCGCGGCTCGAAAGTGCGCGACAATGGCGCTAGGGTCTTACAAAGTCAGCATTTGGCGACTAATCTTAGCATTTGGACGAGTTACGTCGCGCACACCCCATGACACGATTACGGCGTAGCGGCTAATTCAAATACGCGCGGGTTAGTTGAGCCGTGGAGCAGGCAAGTTCGTACAACTCGTCTGGCCCCGCCCCTTCCTTTTCAAGGGAATCCTTGTTTAGGGCTTCATCGACGGTTTTCTTTGCTTCTTTTTTCATTTTTAGTCAACTCGGCATCCACAACTCCATTATCGAACCGCTGTGACCCCCAAATTCGATCGGACGGTGTTGCTTTAATTGGGGAATGGGCAGTTTTTTTTGTGAGGCATGTCCGCGCGCTACCAACGAGCTAGGGTAAACTCGCACACCCCAGCTTTACGCATTTCAAACGAATCTCCAACGCCCAGTCCCCTGAGCTACAACCCCCTGGCTCACAGATTTCCCGCTTAGCATTAAAAGACACGAACAAGCCGCGCTGCGACAGCCCCATTTAACTACCCCTTCTAACTATGATAGCACTACCTCGCCTTCTTGACAAATTTAGCACCGCCCGTCCAATCATTTTTGAACACAACGAAGAAAGTGTCCTACTCCGAAAACCTGAAAAAATTTCAAGAGAATAGTGAAAAGTTAAGCACCTCTGAAGAAGTGGTCGCTAGCGAGTCATCACTTTCAAGAGAACTCTCGCTGAATTTATCATCATTCGATACTTGTTTCCGATCTTGCCTTCTCATGGTTTTCTGATTTCGCGTGGAATGCCTCGATGTGCCCTCACAAATGTTCCGCTCCTCTTCTTCTTCTCCGATGAATAAGGCACGTCTACGATCACTGGCGAGCCTATTTCGAATCCACTACTTGCAGGTGAAATAGTTCCTTCATTAGTACATGAATCGATATCTTCCTCCTCTCCCTGATCTAGCTGAATGTTCCCTGTGTGAGTCTGATGCCCATATTGATGATCCTGACGAGTCACTTTCGCCTTCTTCAGTATCCTCTGCTGATTCCTGCGCTGTGCTGCCCATCAGAGTGTAAAGCGTAAAGCTTTTCGCGAGTATAGGTCCCGTTCCGATCTATAAGGTACAGATTTTGTATGGCATAATGGGGGAAAAGCACAGCGAATAGAAGTGTAAACTCATGTCTGCGCTTTTGAGAACCATGGGTATCGAGGCATAAACACAAGAATGAGCGATAGTGCTAGGATGTCACCCTTATATAAGTGCAGAACCTTGGTGGCAGGGTCAACCGTCCCTTCGCACTATTCGAACGAGAGGGTCGCAGTTGTGATTTCGGGAAGGGGTGACGCGCGCCGCGCTTAATCGATAAGTACACTTTCTTCTTAGATCGTCGCCTTATGGAGTGTTCATAGTTGGTGATTTGCGTTTAGGCGACCAGGCGAGTAGGCGAGTAGGCGATAAGGGAAGGATACGTATTGATTTGTTGCTCCGCCCATTGAGCGATCGCCTAATCGCCTAATCGCCTACTCGCCTACTCGCCTACAACGCTCTATGGGCGGAGCAAACCAATCAATACGTATGTAGTCTTCCCCGCCTAATCGCCTACTCGCCTATCGCCTACTCGCCTACTCGCCTAATCGCCTAATCTATACGTATATTTTTCATTATAGACTAATCGCCTAATCGCCTAATCGCCTAATCGCACGTACGATCGCCAACTATGAACGCTCCATTACCACTAAATCGCATGTGCGCGTAGTGTCGCCAACCTGGACGCTGCCTAAGAAAAGCGATATCTCGGAAGAGCAGGACAAGCGACCACGAGTAGCCGCACAGAAGAGGAGAAAAGCGTTGTGGGCGTTCATATCCTTAGGGGGAACATCCAAAACAGGGCATTCGATTACCGCTGGTAGGTGACACTAGGACTAAGCCCAGGATTGGGAGGTTGCTCACATCGTCTCCCAGAATCCTCGCCCCTCCTTCTATGAGTGGCCCACTCACTTCAATGTTCCCCTAAGGACATGAGCGCTGCGTTGTGGAAGGACCGCTATAAAGCCAGGGCCACGGCTGAAGATACCTCGGATGAGAGTGATTGATGGCGGCTGATAAGAACTGCGCACTTTGCAATCAAAGATTCACACTATGAAGAAGACGGCTGAAGAAGCGACTCTGAGTTCTGCTCATTGTGGAAGAGGCCTACCTGCTTCTTGAGAGACCAAACGGACCACGAAACGTTAGGAAAGAGACGAGTGATGAATGAACATCACTGAGAATGGTGAATGTTTTGATTGCTTATCATGCATGTGCTTGTTTCCCCACTCTAGATGAATAAACAGCGGCTACTCATCATTCACCTATACAGACCTTCTCCTGGGGCCGTATGCTATCCTCCCCGAAGGGGTTGGGGGACGAAAATTCCTTTAAATTTTCTCTGTCTTCCCAACTGGGATTACCCTGATAAAAGGCCTACATTTAAATGTATGCATGTAGGTAAAAGTAAACATGCATTGAAAATGAAGAAACTACATCGTTCAAAGCAAATAATTTAAAGGAAAACTTTGGGTCACCTAGCTTCGGGAGGATGCATACGGCTAATATTGTTTATTTATCACGTGAATATGACAACCTAGTTGAGACGAAAATCGCTGAGCAGAAATGAGCTGACTCTGAATTTACACATACAGAGTTTTATTTCTGCAGCATGCTCATGTGTTCATCGTGCAGTCAGCCTCGCGAGTTCACCTTTCAGTAACATGTAAGGACATCAATTCTCAACGACCGTCGGAGGTTGAAGAGGGAGAAACTCGTCAGTGGAAAGACAAAAGACTCTAAGGGTGAGATGACACCCAATTCGTGCCCAAGAAACGTCCCGGAATCTCGCATGACCGTTCCCCACCGCTACCACGATGCTGCGCTACCTTCGCCGTCTGGCTCTAGCCGCGCTTGTAGAGGAACGTTAGTGCTGATGATGTCGGCACCCATCAGACACGCCTAAGGCGTAAACTAACCGGCAAGAGGGTTCAAGGTTGTTTTTCTTGGTTTTTTCTTCATTGCATCACTGACATCTACCTTGATTTCTAGTGGCTGTCTTTTCATCGTGAACTCTGCCTTTGATGTCGGCCACAGCATCGATCTCCCCATCACATAATTTCATCATTTCTCGTCAGCGCTGCGCTTAAGGCCCAGAGGGGGGCAGGTGAGGGAACAATCAGAACAAGGAAGATGGTAAGTGATACTAGGACTAAGCTCAGAATAGGGGAGAGTCACCAGAAAGTACATAAATTGCTCATATGCTCCTCCGGAATCCCTCCCCACCGGAAGCCTAGCCCCCAGTTATTGTAAGTTGCCCACCTCAACGGTGCAGTCCGCACTCCAATCGCCATACGCCTCCACCAGAACGCCATCCATCGTACTATTAACCGCAGAGGTTTGTAACTTCCCTCTAACTCCTTCCGTGACACTCTCTTCCCCGAGCTCCTTTTCAGCCTATTAGCTATCACCTGTCCATTTCTACAATATACAATAGCTAACATAGGTCCAATCACTCTTGTTTGAACTCGGTCGACGCAGAGTTAAGTGCCACTCACATTCCGACGCCTACTATCGGTCCTAGTCACCTGGTATCACTCGCCGTTTGTGTCAAAGCCCTTCGCCCTTCCCCCCCCCCATAACAAATATGAGTTCGACATTCTACAATTAATGCGAATGGTGCAAAGAAGTTGGTGGCATATTCATCTGTTTAAACACTCTTGAGCTAGGGGAGCGAAGTTATGAATTTCCGGTCAGACAGACGGCCTGACGGACACACACACACATAAAACCGCTTATGGACCGTTCAGAGTAGGTGATCGCAAGTGCGACTGGGCGATTGGCGAGTAGGCGAGTAGGCGAGTAGGCGAGTAGGCGATAAGAGAAGGATACGTATTGATTTGTTGCTCCGCCCATTGAGCGATCGCCTAATCGCCTACTCGCCTACAACGCTCTATGGGCGGAGCAAACCAATCAATACGTATGTAGTCTTCCCCGCCTGGTCGCCTAATCGCACGTACATCGCCAACTCTGAACGTTCCATTGCATATTAAGAAAGTCGGAATGCAACGTTCTTCTAGAGCGCTGCATTCACCTTTTTCGAAGTGCGATCGTATACGTGGTCTTCAGAACTGAACCTGCCTCAAACAAAGTTATTCAATGAAATCGAATTGATCCAACAACAGACGGAAACAAGAAAAATTGAGTTAAGGAATGTTTATTCTTAACGCAGAAGAGGTAAAAATGTTCGTAGATTTCATTTCATATTGCATAAAGTCTTGAGTAAAGTTATAAACTATTCACGGTTTCTTAAGCGTGATCGTCATCCTTGCTTTCGTGGGTACCTAAATTGCATAATTGTGATGTTGGAAAAGCCATTCGATAAATATGCCACTACCTACATGTGTTCGATTATACTATCAACACATTGACGACAGTGAGACGCCGTTGCGCGTCTCACAGATCGCGCTCGCAATCTACCCATGTCTCACGTGGCCAAAAAGCCAATACAAGCGTTGTCGTCAAAGTGTAAATTGCCAAACCGGCGCACTGGTTTGAATGTGTCGATCGGTAAGTTTGCAGAATGCTTCCTGGGTTGATTAGAAAAATGGCACCAGAAATCATAGTGTGCTGCATGATG